TTATGATGCACAAGGTATGTGTATACTAATAATTATTATTTATAATTTATCACTTGTGTATAGGATGGGATGAGAGTAACAATGGAGCACAAACAAAACAAGTTTATGATCAACCATCATATAAAAGTAAGGAATTCCTGTTGTTATTATTATTATTTCTTTTATTCACTACAGACCTGTTAGACAAGAAGCCTCTAAAGAGTGACCTTCTTAGGTTGTTCAAAAATTCTGATGTTCATAGTAAAATTATTGGTACTGCACTTGATGTTAAAGTGAATGATCTGTCACCTTTTCCTCAGTATACCTCAGATAACCTCATACTAGTGTTTGAGAGATGGATAGAGTCTGATATTGATGTGACCTGGAGGAACATACTTGAAGTTTGTGAAGATTATCCAGATGAACTTGGACAAGCAAAATCTGATTTGGAGAGATTCCTGTCTTCAGATAGAGCCCGTAGAAAATATGATAAGTAACAATACATTGACATTGAGTTTTGATTGAATGCATACACACATGATACTTTAATGGACTATACATGACATGCATACATTATACTTATTGCTATTGTTACTGCCACTATTAGTATTAGTATTATCTTGGTATTATTATTATTTATTGAATTGTAATTATTGCTTCATTGGTTCTGTTTTTGTATTCTTGTATTGTTTTTGTATGTACTGGTAAAAAATTAACAGAAAAAATTTGATTTCAGTTGAAATCAGCTAAAACTTTTTACACAGCACAAGGACATCAATAATATGTAGCAGAAAATGTAATAGAAAAAAACCAATGATACCCTCTCCAACAAACTTTATCTTTCTACCAGAATGTATAACATCAGTTATTGGTACTAGTCAATATCAATCCAGTGCCTGCACTGTTAACTTGGTAAGATGAAGAAAAGAGGGAGTGGCTGCTAGTAACAAAATGGCTGCGAGTTGTGAGGGTGGAAGTTCTAAAGGTGTACCAGTTCCTCCCGTTCAGCAGTAGCCTTGACCCGGGGTATTGGCAGGAGTTAGGGAAGAGGAAACTTGAAGAGTATCAGCTAAGAGAGGACCTGGTCCCTATCAGGGGCAGCTATGGGAAGAACTACAGGAACATTAGGACTCCTTTCCTATCCCTGGATTATACTGCTTTTGATGTGGGATACCAGCCTACTGGACTAGATTTCCCTTCTCCTGGTCTCCTACGAAACATGAACACAATCGCCTCCTTCAACAACATTGACAAGAAGGAATTACTTGATACCTGTGGTCGTCTCATTTTGGAGAGTATTAAAAATGGTGATTGCCTCAAAAACCCGTCACTCCTGACGTCATTCCTGTTACTCATGTATGCCGATTAGTCGTTTGGATACTCTTTTAAAAGACTCCGACCTCCAGCACTTGGTATCACTTGGTGTCTTGAGAGAGAATATCAACAAAATGAGGTAGAGGGAGAGAGAATCCCACTGAGGAATTTCTTGTAGTTTATTTCACATTTTGTTTTTAAAGAAGCAAATGTTCTGTAACTTCTCTGTTACCGTGACAACATGCGAGACAGGAAGCATTCGATTGGTCATCCTTTCCTCCCTCCCCCTCTCTCTGCCTTCTTGTAGAAGACTTATATTGTTGGTTCTACTAATGATGGCCTCAGTTGTTGTATGCTAAAGATTGACAGAACACAATCAGGAGCTGCTGGAATAGTGGTTGAAGAAGATGAGAAAGAATATCAACAAAATGAGGTAGAGGGAGAGAGAGAAAAGGTTTATTGATAGTGTATGATTATCTGTTAAGGTTCAAGAGACCCTTACAATGTTAGAGAGTGCCAATCAGAACTTCACCACTCGTTATAAAGGAGGACTACAGCAAGTGGCATCAGCTTTTGGGATTGTTGGTAAGTGTTTAAAAAGAGACTTATACAAGCAGTTTAATTACATGTACAGTAATATTAATATGAAAATTTGTAATAGATAATAATTGACATTAAATTTCATTATTTAAACTGCAACTGTCTAAAAAGACTCTACAGGA